TCCCAGTATCCGCTCCTCCTCCTCCTCCTCCTCCTCCAAGTGTACAGACAGCATCGCATCACCTGGTTCGCTTCTGAGAAACGGCATCTCCTTTTCAGGCACCAGAGAGGGAGAGAGAGGAGAGAGAGAAGAGACATTCTAATGGAGACTGCCTGATACCCCAAAATAAAATAATAAATTTTGGCTCTTGTCTCCTCCTCCACTCCCCACCCCCTCAACCCCGTGTGAGATGTTGGGTTTCTTCTTCATGAGACATTGTTGAGAAGTCGCAGTGGTTGGAGAGGCGTAGGGGGGTAGTCTCCCTCTACCTCTACTCCCTCCCCCCTTTTTTCTCTCTGGGAGGAGGAGGAGGAGGGGAAGGGGGGTTGCAGAACAAGCGATGGATGAGGAAAACATGACGAAAACCGAGGAGCAGCAACCTCTGAGTTTGCAAAAAGCCTTACAGCAGTGCGAGTTGGTCCAAAACATGATAGACTTGAGCATCTCCAACCTGGAAGGGCTTAGGACCAAATGTGCTACCTCCAACGACCTCACACAAAAAGAAATCCGGACCCTGGAGGTAGGTGTCGCCTACTGAAAAAAGCAATCCTTCCTTCCCTCCCTTCTCCCCACCACCCTCTTCCTCTCTGGTTGTGTTCGCTGGGGGTCGGGAGGGAGGGGGTGGGTAAGCCAGGTGGGCAGAATTGGGGTTCTGTGATTTATCTTATGGCAGAGCCTGCGCTGGATGTCCCTTTACTGTGCGGCTGTTGTCTCTGCTCGGCTGGGTGGTGGTAGTAACAGTAGTAATTGTTATTCTTTATTTATTATTACGGTTGCGGCTGTTACCATTATATTCGCTTCCTCTTGGAGGAGGGAGTTCTTTTTTCCGCTTGTGGATTTGTTTATATGCCACGGCGGTTTGTGTGCTGGGTAATACGTTTAGGAGCTGCAGAGAACCCACGTGACCTTGCGCATTCTGCAGGTGGTCAAAGGTGGCTTTTGCTCCCAGGATGGGGCTGCCTGTACACGGAGTCCTCTTCTCGGCCTCCTTCCTAGCTTCCCTTTTGCTCCGTGGATTCTTTTCTCTTCCCTCCTCAGTAATATAGATGTTAGGGAGCAAGGTGTATGAAAAAATAAATCCCTACTGAGCTATCCATTTCCAATACAATTATTTTGCTGCAGTGAGCCGTTGAAGGCCTGAAATGTGTAAAAAGAAAAAATATTCATGCTTGGATAGGCACGCGCAGGTGGCGTGGGAAAATCCTCTTGGATCGCCGTGGGACTTCGTGGAAAGGGGTCTGGGAGGAGGAGTTATCTTTGGCATGTTGTAACATTCTCTCCAACTGAACTTGAAGGGGGAGTTTCTAGCAGGATTTAGAGGGATGGGATCGGGGTAGGGGGTGGCTGCAAAGTTACTCACAAAGAAGATGGCAGAGATTATTTCTTCCAAAGACCGTTTGGTCAGAGGAAGATTTCAGGAGCTTTGGAAAAATGCCTGATGTCGGTGAAATCCTTGGGCATCCACCTTGTTCAAATGGTCTGGAGGATTCAGTTCACTTCTTTCCCTCAAAATGGCCCAGCTGTCCACATGGCTTGATTAAATTTGGGAATTCCCATTAGCTGGCATTTGCTCAGGGCGGTGGAAGCACAGGGGTTCCCCCTTGGGTGGAGCAGGCATGTGCCCTGCTGGGAAGTTCATCCTGTCTCTGGGCTGTGAGTTTCCAAGGCCTGAACTCTTTGGTCTTTACTGAATGTCGTAGCTGTCATGTTCTAGGCTGGATATTTCCATTCATGCATTCAGGTCTTCCGTTTTTCTTCCATGGTTTTACATTTGGCTGGATGTCAACATGCAGGTCATCCTTGTGATAGTGGTGTTTGTGTGTGTGTGTGTGTGTGTGTGTGTGTGTGCGCTCTTGTGTATTTTAATACGATGTTTGCTACCTTAAGATACATGTCTATGTGCACCTGTCATCTGGGAACATGATCCTCAGAAACGACATAAGATAAATGTCAAAGGGGACTGGGCGGGAGTGAGAAGTGTGTTGGGAGGCACAGGTATTGCCTTTCTCAGAACTCTAGAGAGAAGGCTTGGCTAAACTTGGCTCCTGGAGGAATCGTGGGATGTTTTGGCCCTGTCCCTGCTTCTGAACGGTGCCGAGAGCAGCTTCTGTTCAGAGCTGCACACAGTTAATCATAAATAAACGAGACCCAAGGCCATGCAAGGTCTCCCCTGTGCCTTGGGGGTCAGAAATCCCCAAGACTTGTTTGTGTATTACTGTGTGAGTTTCTCCAGAGTTTTCTGTTCTTTTCAGACACATTCCATCCTCTGATAATTCCCAGGACAGTGGTGATTGTGGCAGTGGGCATAGTTCTGTTGTTTTCTTTCTGCAGAGTGGTTTTCCTTCTAAACTGGAGGATGGAAGCACTGGTGTGGTGGTGGTGATGGTGAGGAGTTGCAGTTATAGGGAATGTGTCTGTTTATAGCTCTCTGGTCCCATAGTGCCAGACAGAGTGCTAACCACTTTACCCGTATTGCCCAGGGACAGGCCTGGAACAACTATGTCAGTTTAGACTTCAAAGATCTCTAGGGCCAGGGAGGAGTCACTGAGGAAGGGCAGGTGACATGGGGTCAAGTTTGGATCCACAGTTTTCTACCTCAGCAGGTGCCAAGCTTTATATGTCAAAGCCACACCAAGGCACTAGTTAAAATGCAGATTCTCAGCGTCTAACCCCAGTGATTCTAATTCAGTTTGGAATTGGAGGGAGGTCCAGGAATCTGCATTTAATGAACAGTCCTCATGTTTCTGATTTTTTTTTTTTTTTTTGTACTGGGGATTGAACTCAGGACCTTGCGCTTGCGAGGCAGGTGGTGGAACCACTGAGCTAAATCCCCAGCCCTGTGATTTAAGTTTTCATATGGACACTTTCAGAAATGCCAGTCTACTAGGAGACAGATGTCATATTTCAACTCTTTAGTGGTGAAAACTCCCTGTTTATAAACACTAAGGTTAGTAATAAGTTGAATAGATCATCCCTGAAAACTTTGATAATAAGCAATGTCTTCTCCTTTTTTTTTTGAGACAGGATCTCAACTATGTAGTTCAGAATATACTTGGAGTAACTATGTAGCCCAGGTTGGCCTCAAATTCACAGCTATTCTCCTGCTTCAGCCTCCCGAGTGCTGGGATTACAGGCCTGCACCACCATGCCTGGTTTATGTGTCTACTTCTGTAGAAATGAAAATATGCAACTTGGCTTTCAAGAAGCATAATTCATGGATGAGAGGCAAGGCTAAGAATGCCTCTGTACAATAATGATAAAGTCTAAATAATCCATGATATAGGACATAGTGTATGGGTCTGATAGGGATGTGTTCAGCTTCATGAAATGAAAAATGCACCAATGGTGGGAAGCAAACCATGGCCTCTTTTTCTCGTGTGATAAGAGGTCTGGAGGTACTGGGCTGCTTGGGTTGGCCCAGTAGGACAATAATACTGAGGCTGATGTCTTTGGGAATTCTCTTGGTCTTTCCCTTATGGTTATAAGATGGCTTTTGCAACTTGAGCTATCACATTTGGGTTTAAGGTAGGAGTGTGAAGGGATGAAAAGTTCATACTTTTGGTTTTGGAAGACAAAGATTTCCCCAGGATACTTCCTCCTCCCCACCCTACCAGTGATGTTTAATTATGTGTTCTTGTCCTCAACGGGGTCACATGGCTAGTCCTAGCTGCAAGGGAGGTAGGGAATAGAGAGGTGTGAACACCATCCTGATCCATTGCCTAGGATGATCTGTTGGCACACTAATAATCAAGGCTCTGATAGTTTGAAAGTGGCATGGATGAATACTGGGTGGATGGCCAGCAGCCTTGGCCACAGGATGCTCTTGGTGGAAAAGAAAGTTCATGAGCTTCAGAATTTGACTATGCAGTTTTGAGTTCTAGCTTTTTCACTTTTTACTTTTTATTTATTTATTTTTTTGAGACCAGGTTTCACTATGTAGTTCAGGCTGGACTTAGACTCTCTATGTAGCCCAGGATGGCTTTGAACTGATAGCAATCCTCCTGCCTCAGCCTCTTGAGTGCTGGGATTATAGGTGTGCACAACCATGTCTGGCTATTTTTTAAAAATAAAAATCTTGGGCTAGTAATTTAAACATTGATCCATAATTTAATTTTTCAGGCAAAATGGCAATCATAGAATGATTTAAGTTTTCATATGGACACTTCCTCAGGGAGTGGTTGCAAGGAAAGATGATACTTTTAAGGACCTGGCTCTAAGCTGGACACAGTGCATGCAGATGCTAAATAAATGACATCCACGAGGATGATGATGGTCAGCACAACAGGGTATGGAATAGATGACGTGGAAGGGGCCAGCTCTGAGTAGAGGGAGAGAAGGAGGAGTTTGAGTGAAATCTCCAAAGCATCTTGTATAGAACCCTAATTCTGTGAGGTGTTAGCATTTTTCATTCTTTTTTAATGCATGCTAAGCCCAGGCACTGTCCTGGGTGCTGGAGGGAAAGAAGTGTTCTGTGGACAAAACAAATTCCCTGGTTAATGAGTTTGGGAAAAGTTGAGTTAAGCAAAAGGGAAACAGTTGTTTTTATGTAGTGCAGGACTTCTCAGAGCCTTTAATATGCCATATATGTGCATTGTGCCTTTGAGAGAGGGAACCTACAGTGTTCTGCTTTTCCAAGGCTTTCCCTTAGGATCTCTGTTCCATAGAATACACCGGGGAATAATTTGGCAGAGCAGTTAGGGAAGCCTTCTTGATTGGGGACATGGGGATTTGGAGTGGAATGAAGAATGGAAGACTTAGATTGCAGCAAAAGGAGAGAGCCTGCTAGACCAGAGCAATAAACCGGGGGAAGGTTTTATCATACAGCCAGGATAAAAGGTTTATTATGCAGCGTCAGGAGGGTTTCTGATAGTGTGGCATAGGAAATGAAGTAAGTAACTAACTCCTGGCGTCCATACAGGGGAGTCAGACTGACCAAGTTTTTTCCCTTTGAGGGAGAAAATAGAAGTCTTCAAAAGCTTTGGAGTGAATACAATAAAAAAAGGTGTTTAAAAGTTAGTCTGAGGACAATCTCCAGCAGGGGCTGGCAAATTGTTTCTCTAAAGGACCAAATAATAAATAGTTTAGTCTTTGGGGCCCTAACGTTTCCATCACAGCTCCTTGACTTTTACTGTAGCTCACAGTAGCTATGGACAATGCAGATATGAATGGGTACACAGGGTGGTTTTCCAATAAAACTTCATTTAGAGGCTCTGAACTTTGAATTTGGTGTAATATTCACATGCCATGAAATACTATTTTTCTTTTAATTTCTTTGACATTTTAAAATGTAAAAATGATTCTTAGTCTATGGACTTTATAAGAGTGGATCAGATTTGGCCCAGGGCTATCGTTTGCTGATCCCTGGTCTGTAGGGTGGATGGGATGGGAAAGACCCTGGAGGACAGAGACCTCCTGAAAGGGGAGCAAGTGACACTAGACCTGGAGGGCCCTGGCCAAATGGAGGTGGTTCTGAGCTGGATTCTCTTTTGGTCAAATTGCAAAGGGCGAAAAATATCTGGG